GATACTAGACTAAAATAATTTGTATAGTATTTTTATTGTTTCTAAGCATGCCTACATCTGTCTCACCTGATCTTTACAACAGCCCTATGAATCGTAAAGTGCCCCTATTATTATATGCATCTGATATATAAGAAAACTGAGACATAGAAAGGTTAACTGATGTTTTGTTCTTTAAAAAAAAAAGTAACATTTGTTTATTTTTAACATTCATTTTGAGCTCCAAATTCTATCCCTCTCTCCAGTCCCTCCTCCACACACTGAGAAAGCAAGTAATATGATACTCAACATCATGCAAATGTGATATCCAATATGGTACCCATGATCATCCAAAAGTGAAATCATACAAAACATATTTTCATTTTAGCAATGTCACCAAAAAAAGCAAGAAAAATCAAGAAATAGATAAAAAAGTGGAAAAAAGTATGATTCAATATGTACTCAGAGTTAATCAATTCTGTCTCTAGAGGATACCATTTTTAATCTGAGTCTTTTGAATTGTCTTGTATTATTGTATTGATCAGAGTAGCTAAGTCTTTCACAGTTGATCACGGTTATAATATTGCTGTTACTGTGTACATTGTTCTTGTTCTGCTCACTTCAATTTGCATCACTTCATATTAATCTTCACAGGTTTTTCTGAAACCATCCCCTTCATCATTTCTTGCACAATAGTATTCCATTACATTCATATACCACAATTTATTCAGTCATTCTCCAATGGATAGGTACCCCCTCAATTTCCAATTGTTTGCCAGCACAAAAAGAATTGCTATAAATATTTTTGTACATGTAAGTCCTTTTCCCCATTTTCTTTGTTCTGTTTGGGGTTCAGACCTAGGAGTGTTATTGCTGGGTCAAAGGGTATGCAGTTTGATAGCTCTTTGGGCATAGTTCCAAACTGTTCTCAATAATGGTTGGACAAGTTCACAGTTCCACCAACAGTGCATTAGTATACCTATATTTACACATCCCTTCCATTAACTGACTTTTAGAAGTGAACTAGTGAGGGGGAGCCAAGATGGCAGAGTAAAGGCAGGGACTCACCTAAGTTCTCCTCCAAATCCCTCCAAACACCTTTTTAAAATGACTTCAAACAAATTCTAGGGCAGCAGAACTCACAAAAAGATAGAGTGAAACAAATTTCCAGCTCCAGACAACCTGGAAGATCGGCAGGAAAGGTCTGTTGTACCAAGGTAAGAGAGGAACGCAGTCCAGCTTGGACCAAACCAGTGTAGATCTGGCCCCAGCAAACTAGGAGCAGGCAGTGGCAGCAGCTAGTTTCTGGAGCTCTCAGCCCACAGACAGTAAGGGGGTCGAACAACTGATCAGAAGATTACAGGGATCTTTTTGCTAGCACTGAGGCAGGACTCTGTTGCTTTTCCCATACTCAGATCTGGGTCACAATCCTGGGTGGCAGTCCCATGGCGAGGAGGAGCACTAGAATACCAGAGCTTTCAGCCACAGTGGAGTGGGGGAACCCTCCTCATAGTTCCAGGGCAGAAAAGAGTGCTTGTCATCATTCACAGACCAGAGCACAGGTCAGGAGAGTAGTAAACACCTCCCCTTAGATCATACCACATTAGAAGAACTGAAAACTTACCAGTCTCTACAAATATCTCTGAAAATAGCTGCACAAAACCCCTGAAGCTTGGAAAGGTACACCCTCCACCCTGGAAGCAGAGCGCTACTTTAATAAAGAGCTAAAAGTCAAGTAATAAGCTGGAAAAATAAGCAAATGATAGGGAAAAAACTCTGACTATAGAAACTTATTATGGTGATAAGAAAGATCAAAACACACACTCAGAAGACAACGAAGTCAAAGTTCCTACATCCAAAACCTCCAAGAAAAATATGTCTCAGACCATGGAAGAGCTCAAAAAAGATTCTGAAAATAAATAAGAGAGATAGAGGAAAAATTGGGAAGAAAAATGAGAATGATACAAGAAAATAATGAAAAAAGGGGCAACAGTTTAGTAAAGGAGACCCAAAAAAATACTGAAGAAAATAACACCTTAAAAAACAGACTAGGCCAAATTGTAAAAGAGGGCCAAAAAGCCAATGAGAAGAATGCCTTAAAAAGCAGAATTGGCCAAATGGAAAAGGAGGTCCAAAAGCTCACTGAAGAAAATAATTCCTTAAAAATTAAAATGGAGCAAATGGAAGCTATTGACTTTATAAGAAATCAAGAAACAATAAAACAAAACCAAGAATGGAATGAATGAAAATAATGAAGAATGAAAGAATGAAATAATAGAAGACAATGCAAAATATCTCTTTGGAAAAACAACTAGCCTGGAAAATAGAGATAATTTAAGAATTATTGGACTACCTGAAAGCCATGATCAAAAAAAGAGAGCCTAAATATCATCTTTCAAGAAATTATCAAGGAAAACTGCCCTGTTATTCTTGAACCAGAGGGTAAAATAGAAATTGAAAGAATCCACCCATCACCTCCTGAAAGAGATCCCAAAATGAAAATTCCCAGGAATATTATAACCAAATTCCAGAGTTCCCGGATCAAGGAGAAAATATTGTAAGTGGTCAGAAAAACACAATTCGAGTATGGTAGAGCCACAGTCAGGATAACACAAGATTTAGCAGTTTCTACATTAAAGGATCAAAGGGCTTGTAATATGATATTCTGGAAGGCAAAGGAGCTAGGATTACAACCAAGAATCATCTACCCAGCAAAACTAAGTATAATCCTTCAAGGCAGGGTAAATGGATATTCAATGAGATGCAAGACTTTTAAGCATTCTTGATGAAAAGACCAGAGCTGAATAGAAAATTTGACTTTCAAAAACAAAACTCAAGAGAAGCATAAAAAGGAAAACAGGAAGAGGAAATCATAAGGGACTTAATAAGGCTAAACTGTTTACATTCCTGCATGGGAAGATGATACTTGTAACTCGCAAGAACTTTCTCATTATTAGGGGAGTTAGAAGCAGTATATATAGACAGAGGGCACAGGTATGAATTGAATATGAAGGGATGATATCTAAAAAAATAAAATTAAGGGGGTAAGAGAGGAATGTACTGGGAGAAAGGGAAAGGGAGAGGTAGAATGGGGTAAATTATCTCACATTAAAGAGGGGAGAAAAAGGTTTTACAGTGGAGGGGAAGAGGGAGGAGGTGAGGGAGGGTGAGTGAACCTTACTCTCATCAAAATTGGCTTGAAGAGGGAATACTCAATTGGGTATAGAAATCTATCTTACCCTACAAGAAAGTAGGAGGGAAAGGGGATAAGAAGGAGGGGGTGATAGAAGGGAGGGCAGATTGGGGAAGGGGGGTAATCAGAAGCTAAACCCTTTTGAGGAGGGACAGGATGAAAAGAGAAAGAGAATAGAATAAAGAAGGAGGGTAGATAGGATGGAGGGAAATACAGTTAGCAATAGTAACTTTGAAAGAAAAATTTAAGCAAGTTTCTCTGATAAAGGCCTCATTTCTCAGAGAAATGAGTCAAATTTATAAAAATAAAAGCCATTCCCCAATTGATAAACGATCAAAAGACATGTTCAGTTTTCAGATGAAGTAATCAAAGCTATCTATAATCATATGAAAAAAATACTCTAATTCCCTATTGATTGGAGAAATGCAAATTAAAACAATTCTGAGTACTACCTCATACCTATTAGATTGGCTAATAGGACAGAAAAGGTAAGTGACAAATGTTGGAGGGGATGTGGGGACAATGAAACATTAATGCACTGTTGGTGGAGTTGTGAACTGATTCAACCATACTATAAAGCAGTTGGGAATTATGCTCAAAGGGCTTTAAAACCATGCACACCTTTTGACCCAGCAATACCACTCCTTGGTCTGTATCCCAAAAGAGATAAAAAACAAAAGGAAAAAGACCTATATGTACAAAAATATTTATAGCAGCTCATTTTATGGAAGCAAAGAATTAAAAATTAAGGGGATGCCCATCAATTGGGGAATGACTGAACAAGTTGTGATATGTGCTTATGATGGAATACTATTGTACTTTAAGAAATGATGAGCAGGATGCTCTCAGAAAAAGACTGGAAAGACTTGTATGGGTTGATGCAAAGTAAAATGTACTGTGCACAAAGTAACAGCAATATTGTAAGATGATCAGCTATGACTGACTTAACTATTGTCAGCAATACAATGATCTAAGACAACTCTGAAGGATTTATGATGAAAAATGCTATCCATCCCCAGCGAAAGAACTGATGGTATCTGAATACAGATTGAAGCATACTTTTTAAAAATTTTTCTTGAGGTTTTTTTTAATGTTTTCTTTCACAACATGACTACTATGGATATGTTTTACATAACTATACATGTATAACTTATATTGAACTGCTTGCCTTCTCAATGAAGAAGTAGGGCGGGGAGAGAGGAAGGGAGAGAATTTGGAACTCAACGTTTTAAAAACGAATGTTAAAAATTGTTTTCACATGTAACTGGAGAAAAACAAAATACTAAATAAAAAATCAAATCAAACCAAATTTAAAAAGTGAACTAGTTTCCCACTCCACTTCTTTATAGAGGTGAGAGGCCCATGGATATGGAACATGTCATGCATTTTCAGACTTTTCCAATATATTGATAGGTTTTACTTATTATTTTCTCTTCCTTTTTCTTTTTTTTTCTTTTCTTTAAAAATATTACTTGTAAGAGGTGGAATACTGGGAGAAATAAATATGTTGTTTTGTTTTGTTTTGTTTTGTTTTTAAAAAGGTATCAACAATTTTTTAAAAAGTCAGCTCGCTGTGGGGAAAGGCTGCGATGCAATATCACCTTGCAACCACAAAATTCCAGGACTGCTCCTTTCTCTAACGGCCCGGTTCCTATCGACTTCCTATGTCCCTCCCTTAATTGACGCAACTTGCTCTCTATGTCTCTGTGCCTGCGACAGCTTTCTTCGAGGCCTCCGCATTCGGCGGTAGTGATTGGCTCGTGAGGGATTTGCGTCATCTTCTTGCGCCGCCAGGGAGTAGGCGTCCCCCACGTGGGCGAGCGGTCCTGGGCTATGTGGCTGGGAGGATCCGGGGTTCCTGTATGCCTGCTTGGCGTAGCTCGCTTTGCCCTGCGGAGATTCACCTTTGCGGGGTTCTCGGGCAGCCCCCAAGGCTGCAGGTTGATCATGGCAAGCGGTGGGTGCGAGGCTCTTGACCTGAAGGACAGAGACTCCGGCTGCCCGGAGGAGCCGCAGGAACTTCAGCTACCGGGCGGCGCCGAACCCTGTGGAGAGCAGCAGCCCCCGGCCGGGGAGAAGGAGCAGGCGCTAGTTCCGGCCTTGGTCCCAACCTCGGGCAGGAGGAAGAAGCGGCGGGGCCAGGTCGGGGAGCGCTTCGTGCCGCCCCCGAAGAAGCGGCGGGCCGGGGTCAGCTTCAGCGACCAGCACTTCGCCGAGACCAGCTATTACTTCGACGGCGGGCTGCGCAAGGTGCGGCCTTACTACTTCGACTTTCAGACGTACTGCAAGGGCCGCTGGGTGGGCCGCAGCTTGCTCCACGTCTACAGTACCGAGTTTCGCGCCCACCCCCTCTCCTATTACGAGGCGGCCGCCAGGGCCGGCCGCCTGCGCCTCAACGAGCATCCAGTTCGAGACCTCAGCGTTATTCTTAAGGTGGGGCTCCTGGGAGATGAGGGGGAGACGCCCAGGACCATTGCAAACGGCTCCCCTCAAAAAGCTTTCCCTGAGCTCCACCTCGTGTTCTCCGTAACGCGCCCACTGTTGGCGCCAGGGGATAGAATGCTCAGGAAGACCAGAGTTCAATCCAGTTGCAGACATTTAACTAGCAGTGTGTCCCCCAAACAAGTCCCTTAACCTCTTAGCCTCACTTTCCTCATCTATATAATGGGGGATAATAATAGCACCGACCTCCCAGAGTGGTGGTTGTGAGGATAAAATGAGACAATATTTGCAAAGAGCTATATAGATCCTAACTATTATTATTACTTTTTATCTTGTATACGTTTCCTGTTTCAATGGGAACGTTCACAGCTTGTGTTCTCCTTAGATGGCAAGCTCTGAGAACAGTGGCTCTGCCTTCTTGTTCTTAATTAGCAGGAGCAAGTTGCTTAATTGGATTAGGGAAGTAGACTAACTGGTGAAGTAGTTAACTTGAACTCTTGGATAGCACTGGTCCTTATAATGTGGGTTTCACACACTCCCAAGGACAGATAAGGACAGATTGGCAGTTTCCCTAGTTCTTTTTTGGATCGAGTTTCCCTTTCCAGTCAAGTCTTGAAGCATTGGATGCCATGTTCTAACAATGACCTAATTAATGCTAAAATAGTTAGAAGATGTCCTCATGGTCCTTACATGAGAATTTCTTGCCCCCAAACCCTAGCATGGTGCTGGTACCCAGTAATCATCTTCCCATGAGTTTTTAAGTGAGATCCATTTTTCTTGACCTTTATGTACCATTTGACACTGAACATCTACTCCTTGACACTGTAATCACCTGGTTTCCACCATACTACTATCTCCTGGCTTTCTCCTTTCCTTTCTGCCCATTCTTTTGAGGTCTCTTTATTCTCTACTCTTCCCTTAAGAGTGGATGGGTATATCCCAGTCTCCATCCTCTGGATCTCTTATCTTTATTCTATGGTTTTTTTCTCTCTCTTGACAATCATTTTTATTCCATTGGCTTCAATTCCTAAGAATTTAAATTCCAAAATTCCAGAATTTAAATTCCAAAGAATCATAAATCTGTGTTTACAGATTGCTGGGCATATTCGCTTCAATCTCCTGCTTTAAACACTTTAAGTGTAACATCTCAAAATGGAGTCATTTTATCTCCCACCCTTCCCCTAAACCTGCTTTTCCTCCTGATCTCCCTGTTTCTTTCAGTGGTAACTTTGTAGTAATATAGGCTCAACACATCAGTCCTCTTTAAACTGTTCCATCTTTCTCACCTCCTACATCTAATTAGTGGTCAGGTTTTATTGATTTTATCACTAGCATCTATCCTTTCCTTCCTGCTCCTACTTTATTAGCACCTTTGAGTTAATAGATACCTCCAGTCTCTCCTTTACATCAATGCCAAAGTAATTTTCCTAATATGCAGGTCTGATCCAGCTCAAAGACCTTTGATAGCTCTCCATTATCTACAGGATAAGATTTCAATTCTTTTTTCCTAACATATAAGGAATGATCTGCCTCCAATCTGCATTTCCAGTTTTATTTCGCATTATTTCTCTTTCATGTGTACTATACTATTAGCTACTTTTCCTCTCTCTTTACATTGATAGGTAATGTCCTCTTGCCTGAAATGGCTTCTTATACCTGCCCGTTAAAATCCTTACCCTCCTTCATAGACCAGTTCAGATGCTGCCATCCTTTCCATGAAGTCTTCCCTGACATCCCCCTCTACCTTCTAGACTTCTCTGCTGTCCTGTGTACTGATCACTGCAGATTTTTACTATAATTTTCTGTACATATCTCATCACTCTAACTAGGTTGTAAATTCCTTAAGTGCAAGAAGTATTTTTTCCAACTCTGTCTCTCAGACACCTAGATATCTGAGGCTGCATCTGATTTGCTGACTGCCCCAGTGCGTACCTAACCTGTGAGATGTGTGACTTATTGATCCCCATTTATATTGAGGATTACTGTTATTTCTCATGAGCATGGAATTCTCAGTAATTTGGTTGTAAACCTCTCCCATTTTAAAATGTTTTATTAAACATCGCTGTCACTTTGTACCTTCTCGTTTTCTCCCTCCCCATAAGAATCCTCGCTATGTTTAAAAAAAAAAAAAAGACATTCAAGCAAAACAAATCAACATATTAGCCATGTGTTATGTTCCACCAAGGAAATATAAGCTCTGTGAGAGCTGACACTTCCTTATCTGAATTTTTAAATCTCTAGCACCACAGCTCTCAGAACATTGTAGATGCTTAACAAATGTTTGGGCAGCTAGGTGACGTAGTGGATAGAGTTCTAGGCCTAGAATCAGAAAGATCTGATTTCATATCCAGCCTTAGACACTACCTGTGTGACCCTGGGCAAGTCACTTTACCCTGTTTGCCCCAGTTCCTCATCTGTAAAATGAGCTGGAAAAGGAAATGGTAAACCAATCCAGTATCTTTGCCCAAAAAAAACCCTACACAGATCATGAAGAGTCAGACAGAACTGAAATGACTAAACAACAACAAAAAAATGTTTAAATGTTTGTTGAGTCAACAGTTTGAAGAATTCCCTTTAAGGTTTAGGAGCTATGATCAGTTTCAGTGTCTGCTTATAATTTCAGAGGACTGATAATGAAGCCTACTTCTTGGCAAAGAAGTGGTAGGTAGTACGCTATAGGTTTGGAATGAAGTATACGTTTTCAGACATCAGTCAATCAATCTTGCCTCTATGAAGTGCCTAACCCTGTGCCAGGCCCTGTGATAGATGTTAGGGATACAAAGACAAACTATGAAGCAGTCCTTTACCACAAGGAGCTTATGTTCTGTTGGGGGAATGTGAGATGTGGTTAGAATGTAAGATTTTCTTGAATGTCCTTTTTTTGTTACTAGAAAAAGTCATGTGGGGAGATGAAAAGGCAGGAAGTCACTGGGAAATGAGTAATGTGTAAAAATAATTAGAAGAGCAACAACAAAGCATTAAAACAAAAGCCCTTGAGAGATAGTGTGGCATAGTAGGAAGAGTTCTGGACTTGGGGTTGAGAAGACCGGGTCCGAATCCTACCTCAGACATTTACTAGCTCTTTGACCTTAATCTTTAGTCTCCTCATCTGTAAAAATGAAAGGGTTGGACTCCAAGACTTCTAATGTCATTCTGACCCTAACTCTGTGATCTTGAATGGTAGTGACTTTTCTGGTGGCCCTAACACTCAGCTCTTTTTCCCCCTGGAATGGGTGCACATTTGCCTGATACTGAATTGACTCAAAGGCTTGTATGTCTCTGGCAGGACAATGACTTCCTGCGGAACACCGTCCACCGGCATGAGCCCCCTGTGACAGCAGAGCCCATCCGTCTGCTAGCCGAGGATGATGAAGTCGTGGTGGTGGACAAGCCCTCTTCCATGCCCGTCCACCCTTGTGGTCGCTTCCGCCACAATACTGTCATCTTTGTCCTGGGCAAGGAACACCGGCTTAAGGAGCTGCATCCACTGCATAGGCTGGACCGCCTCACCTCGGGGGTGCTCATGTTTGCCAAGACGGCCGCTGTCTCTGAGCGTATCCATGAGCAAGTTAGAGATCGGCAGGTAAGCGGGCGGGCAGGCAGGGTGCTCTCCACTTGTGCTCTTCTCATAGGCCGAGTACAACGTAAGCCCACAGATGCTCAGTGTTGGGAAGGGGATCATTGAATTCTGCATCTGGAAGGGCTTCTCAAGTCACCTAGTCAAGGCCAGGCACTGGAAATCTCGACATCGTATGTTGTTTTCAGAGGGCTCAGATATGGAGATCATAGGCTCATAAAGCTTTAGAGTCGGAAGGGACCTAAGAGGTCATCTGTTCTAACTCCTGATTTTACAAATGAGGAAACTGAGATTCATAAGAGGATAGGGAATTGCCCAACATCACACAGTAAGAAGTAGCAGACTGCATAACCTTCTTAGGTAACCTGTTCATCTGAACTGAATGCTGTTTAATTATAATGACCAAGCAGAAAAGAGATGAAAAAATATACCTCTCTCCCTTTTTGCAAAGGTGGGGAACTGTGGGTGTGAACATAGCATATGCTGTCAGATTCAGTTGATGGGTTGCTGAATTTTGTTGACATACTTTTTTTCTCTTTTTCTTCATTACAAAGTAACAAAGGAATGTTATAGATGTATTGCTTTGCTGGATAATGATGACAGTTGCTAGTGTGGCGAGAGGGAGGGATATTCATTGAAGTAAAGGAAGTGTAAAAACAAGATAGCAATAAAATTAAACATTTTTCTTTTTTTTTAATAAATGTATTTTTAACTTTTTTTTTAATTTTGAGTTTTGCATTCTCGCCCTCCCTCCAGTCCCTCCCCCACCCATTGAAAAGGCAAACTGTATCAATTACACCTGTGAAGTCGTGCAAAACATATATCCATATTAGCCATGTTGCAAAAGAAAAAAGAAAGAAAGTGAGACAAGTATGCTTCAGTCTATGATCAGAGTTCATCAGTTCTCCCTCTGGAGGTAGATAGCATTTTTCATTGTGATTCCTTTGAATTGTTTTGGATCATTGTCTGATAAGATACTTACCAACTAAGTAATTGATTTTTTTTTTCCCCAAAGAATGTTAATGTGCAGAGGAGCAGGTGGGTAGGGTGCTAAGATTTAAGGGAGATGCCCTAAGAGGAATAGGGAAGCTTGGACACAGAAAGCTCCGAGGTGGTGGTTAGAATCTTGGGACTGCTGAATCTGAATGTGGGAGAAGTGAACCCAGAATACTTGAGGGTGGCAATCTGAGAGCTGGAGCTTTTTTGCTGACTTTGTCTTCTCTTCTGTAGCTGGAGAAAGAATATGTGTGCCGGGTGGAAGGAGAGTTCCCTGCTGAAGAAGTCACCTGCAAGGAGCCCATCTTGGTGGTATCCTACAAGGTGGGGCTATGCCGTGTGGACCCACAGGGCAAGCCCTGTGAAACTATATTCCAGAGGCTGAGTTACAATGGTCACTCTAGCGTGGTCCGGTGCCGGCCTCTTACTGGCCGTACCCACCAAATCCGGGTACACTTGCAGTTCTTGGGCCACCCTATCATTAATGATCCCATCTATAACACCGAGGCTTGGGGCCCAGCACGGGGCCGAGGTGGCCATATCCCTAAGACAGATGATGAGCTGCTACGGGACCTGTTGGAGGAACACCGGGCCAAACAAAGCCTGGATGTCCTGGATCTCTTTGAAGGGGACCTACCCCCGGGTCTTAAACCTCCTTCAGACCCATTTTTCAAGCCAGACTTGAAAGAGCATGCTGCAACCACAAAAGATCCTGAGGACCCAAACCAAGCGGCCTCCCCTGGTTTGGACACAACAGAGCTGGCCCCCGGGGAGGCAGCTGGGTCAGGGCTTAAGAATAAAGAGATGGACCCTCTCTGTGAGGAATGCCGTTTGGTGAGACAAGACCCCTTGCCTCAGGAGCTGGTGATGTACCTTCATGCCCTGCGCTATAAAGGACCTGGCTTTGAGTACTCTTCACCCATGCCTGCCTGGGCACAAGATGACTGGAAGGAAGACTGAGGGGTGTGTTCTGGATTGCCTTCTGCATTGGAGGCAGGCCATCATCCCTCACAGAGCTACTGTGGCTAGCCCCTCTTAGAAAGGGAAAGTGGACGTTCTCTGTTGGCACTCAGGAGCTAAAAAGGAGGAGTCTTGGGCTTTGAAAAAGTTTGTTCTTTTTCAGAGCAAAGGGGAAATTATATACCTCATTTGCCATCCTGCCTCCAGCCAGAGTTTTGGCATCTCTTAATTCTGAAAGTGTTCCTTCCCGGTGTCTCTGCTTTGGGGGTTATTTTCTGAGCTTTCAGGTGCTGCTGCTTGGTCCCATACCCTGTGGCTGTACCTGGATCCCTTCAGCCTTCCTTGCTATGCAAGCAGAACTTTTCTCCCTCCTGCAGAAAGTTTTTGTCCCTTCCACTGTGATATGGTTCCTGTTTCTCTAGGTATATGTAGTATAGCACCTAGGTTTGTGAAATGCTATTTTAGTCAAGTAGGAAATATTTTTTAAATGCATTTTTCTTTTCACACCATGATCATCTCCCAATTGTGTGTCCATCTATCCCTCTACCCCAACAAAAAAAACTATTAAGCATAACTGCCAATGACAGATTATATAACAGTTCCCAGGCCCCACATTCTCCACCAAGGGGAGGTGTCCCAACTGCAGTCATCAGGAACTAACATTGGTCATTGTATTCGACCCTAGGTCTGTTGTCATTTACAGTAATGTGGTTCTCCTGGTTCTATTTTCTTTGCACTGTTATCAGTTCACACAGCAGTCCCGATGAGCTCTGAATTCCTCACCATTCTTTATAGTACAGTAATATTCCATGTGTACCACAGTTCTTCTGTTCCCTAATCATTAGGCCCCTATTTTTGTTGCCAGTTTTTTGCTTCTGTAAATATTTTGGCTTGGATGGGACCTAGGTATGTTCTCAGTAGTGGAATCATGTGGTCCGAGGGTATGTAACCAGGTGACAAAAAGTAGAAAGATCAATAGATTGAGAGTCAGAGGACCCAAGTTCAAATATCTGCTCTCTGCTTATATGATCTTGGGCCAGTCGCTTAAATCTGTATTGGGCCTCATCTTTTTCATCAGTAAAATACAAGAGTTGGACTAGACATGCCCTGAACTCCCTTCTTAGCTCTCAGTCTAGGCTACTCTGACTCTTCTCACAGAATGCCAAATTGATTTTCAGAGTAGTTATAACAATTCACAGCTCCATCAACAGTGGTCTTGGGGCTGTTTCCGAGTCTGTCCCTGTTCCCCCCCTCCCCTCCCCCCACTGACTAGTTGGCTCTACATATTGAGTATTAGTTATGTGGGGTAGGAGTCCCTGTGTGTCTTCCCCTCCCAATTTGATTTTTTTTTTTTGAGTCGGTAAGAGAGGTCATTTTTTGCCTCATTTTTTACCTCCGCTTAATCACTGAATGGACATTGCCTCAGACAGACTGAGACCTGGAAAAGACCTTAGCTTAAAAATGCCAAGGTCTCCCACTGCATCCTGGACCACCTCCAGGCATCCTGATCAGTATCTTGCAATTGGACCCAGTTGGCTCCTGGGAAGAGAGTGAGGCTGGGGACTTTGCACAGCCCTGCCTTACTTAAATCCAGTTCACTTGCAAGTCATGACATCACATTTGTGCCCCAGGGAGAAAGGCATTTATGTGCATATTATATATGTGTGGGTTACAAGTTGGGATGGTTTGGACTGATGGAGTGAGGTGGGTGTTGGCTAAGTATTAGCATTTATTTGATACTTAAGAATCCTTAGTTTTGTCAATTGTGGGCCATCTTCCACTGATGCAGATTGCAACTATTCAGTGGGGTGAGACACCAACAGTGTCTCAAAACAGCTTTGCAAAAAAAAATAATAATAATAATTCATCCTCCCAGGTGCTCAGCCCCCTGGTGATGAGCCTCTTAGATACTTAGGTAGACAAGCATTTTTAAAATTTTTTTTGCACTTAATAGTATTTTTTTTCCAATTACATGTAAAGATAATTTTCAACATTAATTTTTGTAATATTTGAGTTCCAAATTTTTCTCCTTCCCCCCTCCCCAAGACAGCAAGCAATCTGATATAGGTTATGCATGTACAATCACGTTAAATATATTTCCACATTAGTTACGTTGTGAAAGAAGAATCAGAACAAAAGGGAAAAACCAAGAAAAACAAAAAAAGAGTGAAAATAGTATGCTTTGATCTGTATTTGGAATCCATAGTTCTTTCTCTGAATATGGATAGCATTTTCCATCACAAGTCTTTTAGAATTGTCTTGGATCATTGTACTGCTGAGAAGAGCTAAATCTGTCATAGTTGATCGTAGCATAATGTTGCTGTTACTATGTACAATGTTTTCCTGGTATCTGCTCACTTCACTCAGCATCAGTTCATGTAATAGACAAGCATTTATTGTTTTTTGTTTTTTAGGCAATTGGGGTTAAGTGACTTGCCCAGGGTCACACAGCTAGTAAATGTCAAGTGTCTGATCTGAGACCGGATTTGAACTCCGGTCCTCCTGACTTCAGGGCTGGTACTCTATCCACTGAGCCATCTAGCTGCCCCGACAAGCATTTATTAAGCCTCTAATAACAGTTATATACATACGAGGACCTGCCACCTTTTCTTAGCACAGCTTTTGGGAACCCAGGATCACCTCAGCACCCCAATGAAGCATTCAGTTAAAATTCAGCAAGCAGTAGAAGACTGCCACCACCCTTAGTATTTGTAGCCTAGACCAGAGGTGGTCAGGCCACATGCAGGCCACATGCAGCCCACAACACTCCCGAGGGCAGACTGAACCAGATTAAAATATGATTGAAAAATATTTAACAAAATAAATAAAAATGCAATAAAACATACTGTCGATACGTGGATTTCTACGTCAATATGTGGTCTATAGGGTTTAGTGGCACCTGTTTCTATTTGAATTTGACACTACTGACCTAGACTATTAATTAGACTGTTTGGTTTCCCTGCTTCCAACTCTCCCTTCTCCAATCCATCCAAAAGAATCTCCCTACAACATAGCTCTGACTAGGTCATATCCTTAACTCAAGAGCCTTTCATGGTTCCCCATTACCTCTGGCATGAAATGCAAACAGCCTCAGCATTTAAGGCCCTCCAAGATCTGGCTTTGACCCACATTTTGAGCTTTGTATCACATTACTCCCCTTCACGAAGTATGTTCCAGCCAAATTGCGATGCCAGCTGTTCCCTAAACTCTTTCTCCTGCCTGTTTATATTTTCCTAACCCATTCCCTATGACTAGAAGTCACTCACTCATTTAAAAAAATTTATTAGTTTTCAGCATTCACTTTTATAAGATTTTGAGTTCTAAATTTTCTCCCCTCTTCAAGGTGGCATGAAATCTGATATAGACTATACACGTACAATCATATTAAACATTTCCACATTAGTCGTGAAAGAAGAATCAGAACAAAAGGGGAAAACCATGGGAAAGAAAAAACAAAAAGAGACAATAGTATGCTTCCATCTGCATTCAGGCTCTATAGTTCTTTCTCTGGATATGGATAGGATTTTCCATCATGTCACTCATTTCTGCCTCTCAGAATCACTTCCTTCAAGGTGTGGCTTTAGTGCTAGCTACCCTGGAAAGCCATTGTTGTTTGTAATGTTGAAAGCACTGTGCAAGGTAAGGGGGGATACAAAGACAAACAAAATAGTCATGAAGATAACATGTGCATAGGTAAATATAACATACCATGCAAATACAAAATAATTTTTTTTGATGGGAGAAACACTAATCCACGAGGAGAAGGGTATCTTTTAAAACCTCTATGTAGGAGGTTGTACCCTAGCCAAGTCTTGAAGGAAGATGGATTCTAAAAGGTGGTGGTTAGGAGAGTGAATTCCAAGCATGGAAGACAACTCGTACAGAGACGTAACAGCGAAAGATGGGAATATAATGTGTGAGAACAGTAAATTGAATGTGGAACCTAGTGAGTGAAGAGGAATAATGTGAAATATGGGAAGTTAGCCTACAGCCAGATTGTGGGAGGATTCAGTATGCAAAAGATAAGGAACTTCTTTTCATCCTAGAGTCAGTAGGGAACCACTGAAGGTTCTTGCAGAGGGGCGTGATATGGTCACACTTGTGCTTTACAAAGATTGGCAGTTGTGTGGAAATTTTATTTGGAGAGGAAAGATTGAAAGCAAATAGGCCAGAGAGGAAAGCAAAAGCCTGCTGATGGGTTACCCTGCCTAAAGTCTTTCTCCCCTCCAATTCATCTTTTAGTTAGCCATCAATGTGATTTTCCCAAAATTCTAGTCCAACCATATTGCCTCTCTGCTTAATAAAGTCCAGTGGCTTCCTGTTGCCACCTGGGTCAAATACAAACTGCTCTGCTTGGTGTTCAGAACCTTTCATAGAATCCCAGTCCCCTCCTAACTTTCCAGTCTTCTTACACCCTACTCCCCAATGCATACTCTTCAGTCCAGTGCCTCTGGCCTTCTGCTGTTTCACAAACAAGACACTCCATCTCAACTTCAGGCATTCTGTCTGGGAATTCTCTCCGTCCTCTCCTCTGACTATTGACCTCCCTGGCTTCCCTTAAATCCCAACTAAAATCCTACCTTCTACTGGAAGACTTGTGCAATCCCTCTAAATTCTAGTACTCTTAATTATCTCCTATTTATCCTGTATATAGCTTGCTTTGTCTATATTTGTTTTTGTATTGTATTGTAAGCTCTTGAAGGCCTCTTTTTGTATCCCTAGCACTTAGCACAGTGCCTGGCACACAGTAGACACTTTTAAAAATATTGATTGAGGGCCTAAAGTAGGTGGTAGTTATGTAACTAGAGAGAAAGGATCAAGTGCACAATAGAATGGACACATTTTGACAGCTGATTGTAGGGGGTATAGAAAGGTGGGTGACAGGGATAGGGAAGAAGGAGAGTGTAGGGTTGAAAATGACTCCAAGTGTGCCAACCTGAGTGACATAAAGGTAAGTGCACTGTACACTGAATTCCTCACTGATCCCCAATTTGCAGAGCTCTCTCCTTAAAATTATATATTTACTCTTAAAATTTTATACTTGCTTATCTGTGTATCCTTCCTGTCCTGCCATTACAGTGTTAGCTTGATGGCAGGAAATGTTTTATTTTGTTTTTGTAGGTGCCTGATATGCTATTAGGCAGCTAGATGGCTCAGTGGATAGGGTCCTGGTGCTAGAGTCAGGAAGACCTGAGTTCAGATCCAGCCTCACACACTTATTAGCTGTGTGACCCTGGAAAAGTCATTTGACCTCTGCTTGTCTTAATCCACTGGAGAAAGAAATGGCAAACCACTCTAGTATCCTTACCTAGAAAATCCCATGGAAAGCATTGGAATGCTGTGGTCTATAGGGTCACAAAGAGTCAGACATAACTGAACAACAATAACAAAGTATACTATTGTGTATGGTATCCAGTTGGATTGGTATCCAGTCCAACAGGCATGTGTTAGGCACCTGCTGGGGGCTAGCCCAAAACGTTGTGCTAGGTGGCGAAATAAAAATGAGTTGGTAACCCAAAGGAGCTTAATTCAACTGAAAGGATACATTTATCTACATGACCTCAGTAACTTCTCTGAGCTTCAGAGACTTGGTACCCTCTGAAATCTCTTCAAACTCTCAATCTGTGATCCTAGGCATACAAATATAGACATAGAATCATGGAATTTAATGTACTAACTGTGTGACCTTGGGCAAGTCACTTTACCCTGATTGCCTCACTTAAAAAAAAAATTATGGAATTTAGAGCTGTGAGGGACCTTGAAGATCATTTTGTATAAACCATCTTATTCATTTACAGAGATGGAAACTGAGGCCCAGAGACGTATATGATTATTTGAGGAGGGAGTCCTGATAGCTATAAGCAGCCCAGGACAGTCTTCCTTGGGAGGTAGAACATGAGCTAAACCTTCAAGGAAGTCAGGCTGAGGAGGAGGAAAGGAAAGATGATAGCCTTTGCAAAGATGCTGAGGCGGGAGTTAGACTATTGACTGCCAGGCACAGCAAGACCTGTCTGGCTCCGGTGTAAAGTGCATAAGGGAACATAATGTGTAAGCTGGAGCTATGCAGTGAAGGGCTTTAAATGCCAACCTGAAGAGTTTAT